TCTCAGAGGGTTAGTTATTATTTTCCTAGTTCATACCAGGAGATACCACAAAAATAGGGCGTGTTTCTTTGAATAAATTAGATTGGTTTGTTAATAAAAATGACATTTTCAATAAAATCGCGGTTGAAGTTGAAATTATTATTTTTAAATTCTCGATTGAAATTTAATCGGCTGCGTACCAAAGAATGTTGAGATCGAGTCAGGGGTAAATGTTTATAAGTACCGCAGCAATAAACAACGAAAGTTCCACGTCACCGTAAAGTCGTAATAACATTATTTTATTTATATACAAATATTGGATTACGTTGTATTGTTGTTAAACTTATTATTATTTCTTGCCCGAAAATATTACCCCGCCACAGTCACGTTACGGATTCGTGCCGTACCTCTTTGTACTATACGGGTTTCTGTAGCAGTAGTTGACCAATCGATATTTTCATGTTTTTTTTTTTCTCGTTTACCTTATCAACGCGGAGTTCTTTTGCGTGTGTGACACCGTGTTGTCGTCAACGAATAAAATATACAATACTGGTATATTATAGTACACAAAATAACAATGTACGTTCCAGAACGTTAAGGAAAAAAGAAAAAAAAAAATCTACATGATCGACTGCGTACGATTTATACTGGACTTTTAATACAGCGGACCCCAATTTTTCGGATGAAGTAAATCGTTAAAAATCGTTTTGAGACGTTCGACAGCGCGTTACCTCCACACACTTCATTCGATGACAGTATCGTCTCTATATTATCATATATGTATAATATTGACACCCACTATTCGCCGGCGACAGGCCTGACCAAAGTATTTATGTTGTGTATGTGTTTCAAACTCGTATTTATTGTCCGCCCCTGTTGATTGACGTATTGAATATGTTCTTGTCAGCGTTCGTATACACACACTGCGCGCGTTTCATGTGTGTGTCGTCAGTGACAGAGGACGCGCAGACTGTGAGGGAGTTGTGTATGGCATTGTCATCGGGTTTCTTCGTCTTCATACACATACACAGACATAAACTCAGGATAACGAAAATAACAATAATATTGTATTATTGTCTGCAAACTGCCTCGTTACCTGTTTGTCTTTCTTTATTCGCCGTACAGTATACGTATATTACTGTTGTACGCTGCACTTATAGTTCGCAGATAATCTAAATAGATAAAGAAAATGATTTAAGGGAACCACGGATCCGACCTTTCGGCCGTTGTTTTCGTTTTCGAGACGAATTCGACGCCGCGAAATCCGCTTTTATATTATTATTATACATGCTCGTTTGGCGAAACGAGAAACTGTATACACTACCTACCCAAACTATCGTGTATTGTTCGCGGTGGCGTACACACCAGCAAAGTTATGATGTGTGTTTTTATTGTTTGTAAACTAAATCCCTTATTGCGTGTATTTTTTTTTTACGACTCGAAAAACATATGCGAATTGTGTGCAGTTTTTTTTTTCTCAAACATTTTGTCCATTTTTATAACGCTTGCAAAATGTTTGCATTTTTAAAATTTCACATACATGTGTACATGTTAATATATATCTATATATATATATATATATATATATATATAGATAAACACGTGCAAGCTTTGACATAAATTTCACTTTGTTATAGCCGCTTATACGCGTGTACACATGATCTGCATTCTTCCGATCACGTTATATTATTGTCGACGCCGCTGCTGGCACATCGGTTCCAAATGTTCTTGAATCGGCAGATTTTTTTACGGACATGAAAAAAAAAAATCAACAAACAAAGACGATTCACTATCGATTTATATGTGTAGGACTGTATCGTTCTATTGCTCGGACAAACGTTCTATGTGTTATATAATTACCCGCATCGATTTTTGCGGAGTATATTATTTTTTTTTACAGAATCTAATATCTTACACATATTTTTTTTTACATACATAGTGATTTACTCAGTACACTTATCCATTTTTATGAGTTTTTTCAAATTATGACTTTTGTAAAATATATTAATATAATATGTTTTTCCGATTCAAAGATTTAGTGTACTTCTTGGGTATTGTCAACTTATGTTTTTTTTTTCTAACTAGTTTTTATTTTCACTCGAACACCTAATTTTTCATGTCACTGAGTAAAAATTTAAACCTAAGCTTCCGAATTATTTAAATAAAACTATGAAAAACTAAATTTTTTTATTTTATTTCAATAATGTCCGAGCATTAAATATTACCAATGAAAATTAAAATAAGGTACACATCAATAATTTTATTTAAAAATCGCAGTCATATTTTGTCAGACGAACAACTATAATATTATAATAAGAGTAAATATTCCGTGGCACGAAAAATCTAGTAGAAATATCGTTATTCTCCTCCCTTGATTGTTTTCTCACCGAACATTTATATACAAAGATGTGTGAAGGTTTAATTTTTTTGAATACATATTTCGGTTTATTTTATACATATAATGTTACGTCTTATGCCGTCATCATCGTGTATACGAGTTTAATTTTTCAAAAAACGACTTTTCCAAACACGTCAAAGATTTACGACTAGACCATCGATCTAACACAGCTACTGGTGATTATTAAAATGAGACTTAGTTGATTAAAAATAATATTACTTGTATAATAAATAAATTTTTTCTATCGTCGTTTTCAATATTTGAAAAGGGTAATAATAATATTGGTCGCTGGCGTTGTTTCTCGTCGAAGAAACACCGGTTTCATTATTACCTTGATTATTATTATTATGTACATTTTTTACTTAACCATAAAAGTCCCGAAGCATAAAAATGTTCTATGAGGACGCGGGTCATTGGCAAAACGAGTTTTATCGATAATTAGCTTCAGCTTCTTTTTATAAATATTAATAGAAAATTATACGTGCATTTTTTTGCGCCTTTTGCAGCAGGCTAATCATCATTTTTGTATTATTGATTACAATGTAGTGTTTATGTTTTATGACAGTTATTTATTTAACCATTTTTGTTAAGAAAATTGTTGATGCGTTCCGACATGTGTCTCATAAATAAATATCGTATAAATTGCAGTTTACTATAACATATTTATGTAGTTGAAGTTTTTATTAATTATCGGGTTATTAAGTGGCACACCCGTAAAAACCGATGTATCCTGTTATTTTTAACATGCCCTGTCCTCCAACCATTTCCATAATTTTTGGATTATAGTGTGTATGCGTAATACTTGAGCTAGCTGCTGTGAAATATTTCACGACACTTTATTTTTGTTAAAAATTATATATATAATAACGTGTGCAATATTTCGGAACAGAGTCGTAAATATCACAAGAACGTTTTATATGTACAAGCATACGAAAAAATACGTGTGTGAGTGTATTACATCTATCGTATATTATTATTATTTTCTTTTTTGGTTATTCGAGACGAGCGTTGGTGGTGAATCGCGACCGATGCTAGACGACATGACGACGAGTCGTTTCGGTTTTATGACCGACGGCGGGTTTAATATTTAAACGAAATAAATAAAAGAACCAAGCAGAGAGTTGGTCATTTTTTCCCCTTTATAATGCTTTTATATTCGTTTTAATCCATGAAAACGTTGTCATCGTCTTTTGTGCCCTCGAAACGAGTGGTAGCATTATCATGCGGACGTTCCGGTCCAAACGATTATAATATTTTAATAATCGCTCAGTGCTTAGTGCAAATGTTGTTTTATTATATACATATATAAACTTTAAATGAGAAAAATACGTGTTTCTAAATTAATATAACGGCAGGGATATCGGAATATCCCTCGAACAAACACCGGTCGGAAATAATTATGAAACACATTTATAAAAGGTACCTTAATATTTTATAATATTTATCTATTTTAATCGTAACGGTTTCAAAATATTGTGTTGATAAATCCTTCGCTGTACCATACAAATCCGTGATTATTTAAAAAAAAAGGAAATCTCGATTTTTTCTAGCAATTTTCAATTCTCATAAACATTTTCATTTATAAGTTTATTGAAATATTTCCATCTACTTATCTGAAAGACGACCTGTTTACCCGTCCGCGATTTTTGTATTAAATCAATATCTAAGACTTTATATATATACTATTTACATTTAATGTCGAGCCGACTAAAGTGTACATTATTGCACAAAATAATGTTACGATAAACGAAGTTGTTAAACAGTATAGCGTACCTAACCAAGATGACTCCCCCTCATAAATGTCAAGTATGCATTGACAAAAATTATTTTGTTGAAAATATTTATTTAAAATCCTAAGCACTTTAAAACCGGTTAACAAACCCATAAATTATTATACAACTGGAAATACAAATATTCTACATCATTAAAATAGTGTTGAAAAGAAATTTTATTTTTATTTTTAAGATCTGACCATGGAATAATATTGTAACTGTAATAAAATTAATAATCGAAAAAGGGTGAATATAAATATGTCTAGTACACGTAGAGTTTATTATAAAAATAGTAACTGGTAGTAATAAGAAATATTGTAGATTCTGTTATCGGTAAATATTATAACCTACTGTAAAATGATAACAACCATCATTATTCTATCCTTACCATTTTACAATCACTTATTTATTAATTTTATCCGTCAACATGTTGATTTGTATATTATTACAACTGCATTAGATATTAACGACCATCAATCCTATCGATTTAATTAATGTATTTTAACTAATTATAACCAATTCGGTATAACGCTCTCTAAGAGAAAATTGAATTTATTAGTAATTCGTAGATGAGCCAAAGACGATTGTAAAACGTACTGTAAATTTTTTAAACTCTTATCGATAATATTGAAAGTATCGATATTTTGCTATCGTTATCGCCTCACTTGCAAACGGGGCTATCTATTTCAATAATGATAAGTTGTATAGTAATTGCATACATATTTTGCTGCAGTCTATCAACACGAGACACAATTCTCAGTGTTGTGTTATTGTTATTGGGCGAAACGTACACAATAATTGTGACCAGCTCGACATTTATTTTAATTTTTTTATTCTTCTGATTTTCGCAGGATGTCGGCTGTCAGGAGGCTTGTTCTTTCCACGACTGGCATGGCGGATCGCAACCAAGCCCCGTGGTGGAGGCGCGTGGTGAACGGGCCCTGACCATCGAGTCGGGCACGTTGCGGTGGCCGCGGCCGGCTAACCTTCTGTCGCCCACGTCGCTGCGTCTCGTGTACGTTATCATGCGGCGTCGCGAGCCTGGCACCAGACGAACGTGGTCGCAACTGGGCCAGACGCCGGGTTATAAAGCGCGGCTGCCCAAGACCACGGCCCCGTGCACGGTCCGCGTGCTGGCCGTATCCGCCGAAGGCCTGGTCACCATTTACAGTCCGGCGCCAACCACCGTGGCCGCCACCACCGCCGTTCAAGTCCCGTCCTCCGCGTCCGCACCCCAAACCTCGATATCGCTGTCCTCGTCCCCCACTGCCGCCGCCACTCTGCACGACCTCCGCGACGCTGACATCATCATCAAAAGCCTCGGCCGCGATCAAATACTCGGTATCCGGTTGCCGTTGGCCGCCAGATCTGCGCCCCAGGAAGAGTCTCTTCGTCTCATGGTAAGCGACGGTTTTTATAACGTTTTTTCTCTTTCACTCGTGCAATATGTGCGTACATGAACAAATTTATGATAATTGAAATTTTTCTTAACACGTTCACAAACAATCGTACCAAAAAAACAAAGGTCCTACGTTTATCTTACTCTAACGTTGTTAAACTATAAGAACTCACTTGCAGTAATAGTATAATAATCTATACAGATCAAATATACATCCGACCGATTTTTCTTAGCGCAGCACATGTCTCTTATATGTCTATAACGAGTTGTATGGCATTTTAAAATATCGTAAAAACTACTCGCTATTGGCTTTAAACTATCTGGAAGTAGCCACAGCTCAAAACTGTTTGAAAACAGACAAATCAAGCTACGGAATCTTGTTTAACTCATGACATTTTTATGTAACTTCTTTGTGTTTTTACGCACGCATTGGTCCAAGCATTTAGTTCACCCTAAACCGTGTCGTGCTGGGTAAAATAATTTTGTCCGAATGGCTAAACCACATGGCTACGGTGAGGAATACCATATGGTATTTAAGAATTTATCACACTTAACCATACGCTACCGCGAAGTTTATGTTATCCGACTTTTGAACGTGTGATTGCCGAATCAAATTCTATATCGTAAAATGATGTAATAATATACAACCAAGATTCGATTGCTAGTGAGTTTAATAGACGTGAGTTTAATTTTGTACCAATCGTACATGTTTTTAAGTATAGGCTGTGATGAAAATACACAGAGTGGACGCACCACGGTGTAAAGCAAACCCACCATAAGCGTCACAGGTTAAAATGCTTATTGCGATTAAAAACCGTTTACCATTTTTCTCACTTGTTGAAAACGATGAATCGGCTTGCGAAATAACGTTGTAGTAGATTTTCCGTTGTATTTTTGCCGTAGTTCAGACAACTGCAAGATAATAAATGGTAGAAAGCGGGAAACTGAGGTATATCTTCCGCCGAACTGTATGAAAATATTTACGATTTATCATAATACTACGTTTTTATACGGGCAGGAACGAAAAAGAAATCAAAGCAAAAATTACCCTCGGCAGTAGTGTTCTGTGCACTGCATAATTTAGTAGTATAAACACAGTGTGTATCCGTATAATTCGACGTAGTCGCCGTGGCAAAGACGTGGATTGATGGTAGGATCTATTCTACGGTGAAGACGACAACAGTAGTATTGGAGGTCCAGAATCTCACTCGGATTGATGATGACTTATACTCCGCGCCTACATATACGCCTACGCTTTCATATATATTTTATACATGTATTTATACTATTCGTATCACGGGGTTATAGCACAAAAGGAAAATGTAAATATTGTTACGCGGAGCACGTTCACGTTCCCTATGACGATATACTGTGGGTTCTCAGTCGTTTCCCTCTCGTTTGCATGCATGTGCGATCGTACACAGGACCGAAAAATAAAACACTCGCGTCCTTTTTCTTCCCTTCGCTCCGTGATGGTAAGACGCGCATCACTCGGTCGACGTGTCTGCGATCGATTTCCCGCAAAGTCATTTAACATAATAAAAACAATTTAACCAGTTTCGTCGTATACTTTCCGTTTGAGGTAATATGCTCACGTATTATTATATTATTATAAAAATGGATTGCGAGTCATTATTATGTAAAGAAAAATGATAATAATAACAAATATATATAGTTCGTACATCCAAAGCTGCTACAGAGTTTCCCATGAGGATTTATTAACTTTGACAGTGTCCCTATGAAATAAGACTAATAAATTCTCGAGGAGCATCCTGTGTAGGTATACACGTTTTATTAATGAAACCAAAAAATACTCTTGTTATATGCAAATATTCGGCAGCTATGTTTTTATTTTTGTTCTCTTGCACGTGGCTCATTAAAATAATGAAATAAATATCATATCCGCCACCATAATTTTTTGGTTAAATTTTGTAACTACGAAAATAATCACTATTAATCTAGTACGGCGCAGTCAGTTGTTCGTTTAAAATTTGTGTGGTAATATATAGATAATATTTTATGTTAATTCGTTGTAAACAATAAAAAAAAGTCCAATGTTCCCAAGGCGAAGTCAAAAAACTCTTGTTTAAAGAAATAACTTGCATTCGACTTGCGAACCGGAAAATCGTTTGAAATATTTTATTATTATTATTATTATTATTTAAACAATTATCCGTGACCGTCACCTTTGCCGAATATATATAAATACATGTATAAACGTTTATATTATATTATAGTGACGAAAAATAAATTAGAAAATTATTAGAGTGGCCCGCGTGTCGACTTCGTATTGCGGCAAGACGATAAAACCGAGTAAGTCGAGCCATACATTTTAATAAACAAAAAAAAAAACAAATACCCGTAAACAACGGTCGTAAAGACATTTACGGCGTAACGACTTTGTTATACGACGGTGAAATATACGGAATTTGTACACACATTCTAGAGAAGCGCGTGTGTAATATAAAATAATATTATAATGTAATAATATCGCGTGTCTCCCGATGTTATTGTTTTCTTTTCCGATCGCAGTTATCATTCCCTCGCGAATTGTTTCGTCCTGCTTCTATATCCTGTGTACATCCTCTACCATATTATACCAGCGCGTAAATACTCCTATAAACCTACTTTTGTATACAGAGTGAAAGACGAACACAACTACCGCGGCGGCGCAACTTTGTTATAATATGGTAATATACTATTGTTCATACTCGACGGTGGCCCGGTTGATGGAAATATATTTTAAATATAATTACATGGTAGAAGTGGGCTTGTTGTCGTACGCACTTGCGCGTGAGAAACTCGACACCCGAGATGTGCGAGCGTTAACCATTCATCAACCCGTTCGCACACCCCAAAATGATAATAATATTAATAATTGGTTCTTTATCTCTCTGTCTTTCTCGATTCGCGAAAGTTTCCCTCGTCACTGCGTGTAGACTACTTACCTTATATATATATATATATATATATTATTGTAATAGTATCTTTCTAACATGGGTATTAGTAGTCTAATTGAAATGTACAATGTCCACTCGTATAACATTCCATATAATTTATTTAATACACATGGAAATTAATAATATTTAAGAATATACTGGAAAAGAATAGTTCAACCTAAAACCTGAAACATTAATCTTAAATTATATGATTGTTTTTTTTTTTTTTTAATTTGCCCAATATACGAGTACTAAGAATACTATAATAATAATAGTTGTGCTTTTATTGGATATAATTAACAATATATTATTTTAACTATGATAAAAATCGTTTTATTATTTTTTATAATTAATGTTTATATTCTTAAAAAATGTAATTACGTATTTCATAGAATATGACTTGTACAGCGTTTTGTATAGTAATCAACTTAAAAGGTTACTAATACTACTACTACTATATGTTACACAGACAAGTATATTTCCAATTATTTTATTGAAAAGTGCTCAAATTATAATTGTATTGTACAATTTAGTTCATTAGATTTAATTGATTTATTATCAATACTTATTTTATTATTAAATTAGATAATTATTCTAAATATTAATACTATGCATAACATAATTACTATAAATAATTGTTACACAATAATATTTATTTATTTTGACAAGCATTGTATTACTATTAATGTTGGTGCAATATTATGATTAATTCAATTGTTATATACAATTTTTTATGGTATATTTTTCATTAGGAAACATAACGTTCGTATTTTTCATACGAATTTATATTTATATAAGTATACCTACATTATAACAATGAATGCCGCACCACTGTACCCTCGAGCAAGAACAACAAGGGCTGAGCAATAACAACAGAACACGCGCGGAATACCTTTTATTCAACCAAAACATTCGGTCTATAGTAGTAGTTGTTTCGATCATCTGTGATTTTGATCGGCGCCACTTCGATCGACCGCCTCCAAACGCATCTCTTATCTGATGCGGGGCGCGAGGGTGAGATAAAAATAAAACGCGCCAATGAATTATAATTTACGATTTTTTATATCCCTATAACCGACACGCTTGCACGCCGCAGTCACTACTTATATCCAAACATTTCTGTTCTCAAATAAAATATATCTCGGATGATCGAAAAAGATATTTTACGATGATTCGTTTAATCCATCCCTCCGTGTAGTTTAAAGTGCGTTTTAGTCATCTAATCTGGTACCTACGGATAACATTTCGGGAAAAATAATGAAGAAAAGAATATATATATATATATATATATATATGTATATAAAGTATATTAATATTATTATTATTATTGCTCCCTTGTAAAATGTAAATGAAGATAATAAATATTCGGATAAAATAACGATTCGATCTCTTCGTGTATGCTGTATAGCCAAGGGAGAAGTATTACGTGCATTTAGTTCCGAAAAAATTGACCTCCATCAAAATTCCACTACGTATGTTATTATTGCCGAACTTTAATTCCCAACACACGGCTGTATCCTTATCAAAATAATATTCTACAGTTCAATTCATACATTTACTCTTTGTCTTTGTATCATTAAGACGTAAAAGCTATCATGATTCAATATACATAATTATTGGTACACAGTCCACATTATTTTCACTTTTAGCCAGTCCATAAAAATAAATAATAAATAACATTTATATCGATGTGAGTATAATACATAAATTGTTAATTATATCGAGTAAGTTATAATTACTTTGGAATAATATATATAATACGAGTATACTTCAATCCATTTCCAAAAACTGTTTATTATTACCGCAAGTGTACGAATGTATATGTGAGAACTCGCGCACAAAAACCGCCATTGATTTCGTGCACCGCACCTCCATTCACCCACACCATCTCCTTGGTTATATTCGTGTTAGGAACTACCCGGAATGTTTCGACAGTATAGTCGATGTTTTATTCATATCCCATCAACTTTCCTGAGTATTATTATTATTACCTTCATAAAAATGCTGCGGGTGACATGGATTTTGGCAATTTGGACCGTTTGGGAATACATTCGCCCCGGATACGGTGTCAGAGGTCCCGGACTTTTACGTTTCTGGGTGCAAGGGTCTTTGGAGACGTTTCTCCGGGTGGTTCATGGGTATTGAATGCGAGGGTTTACCAATGTTATTTTCGTGATTCAATAACATTTAACGACTCCGTTTTACGAGACCACAAACTCTGGACAATAAAATCACCGTAGCAGAGCAGTGTGCAATACTCGTATATAATGTGTACATTTATTTATTTATTTCGGCATAATACACGCGTACTCGAATTTTACTGGAAATCACTCATACGAAATTAATCTCGAACCGTTCGGTTTCCAATAACCACCCCAACGGACTGAGTTATGATTGAATGGCCATATGTTGTTCGAAGACATATTGAACCCACATAACGCACAATTTTTAATCATAGATTTGACACAAGGGTTAATTAGCTTAAGACCGAAACCAAGTGGATAAAGTAAAATTACGATTAATGATAACTTTATTTTTATTTTTTATCGTTACATTATATAATTAATATTCGTAATTGTGTGTATTTTAATGGCATGCGTTTAACATAAGACTCATCTGAGGGGGGTGGGAGGAAACTCTTTCACTTGTGCTCGCGTATACCTGCGTCCCGGTGAAGCGGTGTTATTATTTGTTGCTTACCTGGTGCGTTTTGTTAATTAGGGTGACGGCCCCTTAGACTCGTCGGAAGTGTGGAACCTGCGTGAAGTATCGATGATCCATCAAAAGGTGTTGGTGATCGCTGAAGTTGCATGGGATGCCAGACAAGTGCATCGGCCCGCCTACCTGGTCACGTGGGAAATCGATGGCGGAGGTTTGAAGGGAAACTTGTTCACGGACACCACGTGCGTCACATTGTCCCTGTGGCCGGACACTGCTTATCTCATACAGGTCAGTAAACTACGTAGGTAGCGCACAATAATATGTTAATTGCGGGATCATTGTACCGATCAATGTATCTAAGTGTCGACCCCCGTGAGTCCTGAAAGCAGACATAAACGGACAAACACGCGGGGACTGCAGTTTGTCGGGCATCGCTTGCGGTGTATAGATGTATACCAGCTGTCGTACGAAAACATTAAGTCCATTCTACTCGCAAACAATGAAAGAATAATTATTTCTATTTCAAAACTTAAAACGCCATTGCTACGGTAATCGTTTTTACGACTCTTTATTGTTTCTTAAACGTCTTAATATTAGCATTGCAAATAAACCCAAGTTTATATTAAAATAGGTGTCTCGACTACGCCGTTGCTTTTATAGCAGTAAAGACCGAGTGTTCTTGAAAGTGAATTTAAAATTATGGTCAAATTCGGTTTAAATTAACGCGACGTCTAACCGGCGTCTGCGAATACATAACAATAAGAGTTTTTCCCGTAAATTTTCCCGTAAAATCCCGTTGAAGTGTTTCCTTAACAACGTGTGTTATTCCTAAAATTATAGCGATCGTCCATAACATTTTGCGTGTCTCATACCAGTATAATGTGCCTACAATAATAATGTACACACTTGACGATGCAGGCTTTCCGCAGCCCAAAACGTCAAATGCGCTTGTTTATTATATTTTTGAATACCGTTTTTATGAACTTGAATTATGTACAAACGATCATTACCAATGCACACCATCATGTCCGGGGAAGAACGAACTAGGCGTTATTTTACATAACATATAGACCCCTATAAAAGCCGGAAGTGGTGGTTTACCAGGAGTGGGAAGGGGTGCTTATGAATAGACGAAGCCAGCGCGTGTGTGCATGGAGTAAATGCACGTCATTATCGCTATTTAACGACGGCGTCGTTGCGGGGAAGGGTGGAGGCGTGTACGAACTACGTTCATTTCGGCTGCTATTGTCAGCGTCGTCAACGAGATAAAAAGATATTTGCCGGAAAGAGTTAATCGATAACGACAACGACAGCAGTGGTGGATGCCACGTGACCGAATAGAATAGAATACTATATCATAGTGTTGGCCGCGCATGTAATATACGCACCCCGGTCACGATCGTTCACCACCAAAGGCCATAATAAATCGTCCAGTAGTTCCGCCTCCAAGTATATGATGATAGTGGTATGATAGTCGCAGTGGTGTGGTTGGTGTGGTGGGTGATGGTGTATTATAGAATCGGTATTTATAGTGATGTTTGCAGTTGCGAAGAGAAAAGGAGAGAGAGATAGAGTGAGAGAGCGAGAGAGAAAAAAAAGAGATCGATATAGAATAATAAAAAGAAAGAATAAGATAAAAAAACTAAAGTAGAAAAAAACACACACACACACACACACACACACACACACACACACACATGCACGGAGAACATTTATTATGTCCAATGTTTTTTTTGGTTGTGGCTGATAAGAACCGTATACATCTATAAGTGTTTATACGAATCCCTAAATAACCCATAAGCAGCCATTGGCAGTGTAGTGGTAACGCACGGTGAACTCTATAGTTTTAAAAAAAGAGTTCATAAATATTCAGCTATAGGTTATCGCAAAACGGATTTGGGGATAGCGCATTGCAGTACGTATACAGCGTGCGTTTTGATTCAGTTGCATAAACGCCATGAGTTCAAAAATAATTGTCTTACCTTTGCAACACACGGGTAAATAATTTCTCTTTGCGCTTCTCCCCTCGATTTTCTGTGACGGACTGGACGGGACTAGACGCAAACGGGTTAATTGAATAACTGCATTTGCTTTATAATAGAAGATACATCAACATATTTATACATATTTTATTTCGTAATAGATACGTCATATAAACATAATTTATTATTCAAAGTCCTCAACTTATATTATTTATTTCAACCGCGTGTTTCGATTCCACCCGTCCGTCAATACGTGTGTCCGTCCGTCTATTAAAGTCGTTTATTTCTTAAAGTACTCGCCATCTCTATATCTTCTCTCTTTTTTCTCACCCGTTCTATCTCTCCTTCGCTGTGTTCTCGTAGAGTGATTTGTCATTTTTGAAACGACGATAATTCAAAAACACTTGCGGAAACAAAGGTGATAATGACGAATCAGATTAAAAGATAACATTGTCCAAACGTGAGGAACACGACACGTATGTAATTAGGAGCGCTGCGAAATATTACATTAATTATAACCGTACATTTTACGTTATTTGTCAGTAACAAAATGTATTTTAATACGCCAATCCGCCTTCATTATATTACGTAAAAGATAGATAACCACCTGAGTAGCGCGATGAGTTTTTTTGTTAGTTTCAAACGTGAAGCATTTTCTATCTCGTCTAATTATACGACCGTTTTTTCAGAACATATAACTACATCTACTATTACTACGACTCTAATGCTACAACTCATTCTTTCCCTCCCCTTCATCATATTCATTCTCTTGGACATGTACTATTTTGAAAACGTGTTTTTTTTTTACTTTTTGAATTCTTGTCATGCACGTTTACGTTTCTATAATGTTATACCTGTACGAGAGAGTATTTGACGATCTACTTTTGTAATATACGCGAGCGACCGTGTATTTTTTTCTCATTTCCAAGTTATATATGCGTGAGGGCAGACCGACCATGCAGTAATTGATCATGTCAGCGTGCGCGGTTATAATTAAATGCTATTATTGTAAATCTTTGAGTGCGATAAATCAATCGGTTAATAACAGGTTGCCGATAGAGAGCAGGCATCGATTGCAGAGGCAAATTTCATATATTGTGCGAGCTCCGTAGGAGGTATATTGATATGGACAAATTAAAGGAACGAAAATAAATACACATATACACTAACACACGTACTACATGGACACATATATTGTCGTAGAACACGGTAATATTTCGTTGTGGTCATACTCACGCCACAACAGAACCGAATCGACCGTATATTATATTTTATAATTTATATATTTATATATATATATATATATATATATATATATATTATGTATTATTATGACCGGATTTAAATTTGCTTAGATTGTTTGGAATTCATATAGCGTCGTTTCGTACGTTAATTTAGTAACGACGATCACCACCGATTAAGGACGAAAACGGACGATTCGGAAAGTGACCGAAAACTGTCCCTTTAAATTTTCTTATTATTTTCATTCCATTATTTCCCGACCCGGGATTTGATTACTCGGTAAAAGATTATCTTACTACTATATCTGATTATATAGCGTATAAAGTATCTCGAAGTCTATATATATATATATATAAATACTAGACACAATAATGTGTTTTCGAGTTCAGTGTGTGTGCGCATGTGTATGAGTGAAGCGGAGAGCGGCGTAGACATTATTCGCTGAGAAAAAACCCCTGCCACCGTGCATTGTAATATGCCATTATTATTGTCATGCTATTTCGTTTTGATTCGCTTTGTTCGTGTTTAAACCATATTATTCGTTTGACTAGATAAGTTTGCGTTTAGCCAACTCCTGTCAACCCCCGTAAACGATGTTCTCCGTCACGCGCGCCTATAAATGTTCGTATAGTATATGAGAGAATGGTTTCCCTGATAAAACGGGGAGAAATTAATAAATTATTCATTTCTAGCAGCTGTTTATCACTGAATTATCTGAGCATTCAGGCGACATTTATTTTACATAGCATATATACTTGGTGTGCGTTTTTGGGGTGAAATAGTAGGAGCGAAGACACGCACTCCCCCGCACCACGTGTATCCTGTATTTTAACTGTTATCCGGGTGTCGGTGACAAATAGCCAACATTTTATCGGCGAATCGACCGTATGACCAATCATACACACACACACACACACACACACTCACATACTACGTGGTGTTCCTAATCCTGTTAATTGAAGTATATAATATACGCACTGTAGACAATAAAGGTAAGGTAGTTTGTGTATACAGAGTGGCTCGTAATGTTTTTACGATAATTTCCGTATTAGCCATGCGTGTCTGACATGTAAAACGTTCATCGTCACTCACGCTGTATACGCTTGTGCTTATTACATTTGGTTACCATCGATATTAAACGATAGTAATCGAATATATATATACATAACTGAGTCCTAATGGTACGTTAATTATAATAATTTTTATTACGCATATTGTACATCGATGCGATGGTACGTGCTTTATGCTCAAAATGGAATTTCGCATATCCATTCTGACTTCCCATAAATCTGTAGCGAAAAAGTTGCGTGCACGTCCGACATGCACGGTATGATTCCAAACACCATTTTTTTACTGTCATTGTCGTTATCCTTTTTTTTTAAATTAGAACGGTTTTCATAAAACCTATTGCTCTGTAACTGCGTATTACAGAATTACAGAGTAGTAACTGGCGTATTGTATCAGGATTTATGACTGCTGCGCAACGAACACCGTACTTGCAGAGAATATGTTTACAATTTATCGACGGATGGAAACAAATTATCTCTTTTTTTTTTTTTTTTTTTTTTGAGGAGCATATAATTTAATAATTTCTTATCGACAGAATGTTATTATTTTTTGTGGTTACCGGTTGACAAAAGCTTAACGGTTTTTATTCGGTCTAAGGTTTGGTTTACGTTTTGCTCGAACGGAACGCACTTTGTGCTACAACGAATTGCACTTGACAAATGTAGGTCACTGCAGACTATTGTGTTTGGACATAGCCGACACAAAATTTTGAGTAGCACCTGAATGCGATGTTGCTCACTACTTGAAAAACGTCGTTTATCATGTTTATCGAAAAATAGTTTTTTTTCCCGTTTCTTCCGTTTATTAATAGGTTTACGTTTTTAACGTGTGCTAAACAAGCATTTCAATAATAAATGATTTACCTATATCAAAAGTATAAAATATATAATTTAGTTATGTGAAAATATTTTGCGAATAATAGTAACGCGATGGAAGAAAAACTCCATGTAAACAGAATAAGACACGCGTAACGTTTTAAACGGCACTTACTTCAGT